AAAAGGTTTTGAAAACTAAAAAGCAATGTTTTTTTACTGCCCCCCCCCCCCCCCCACACTTTCTCTTTATCATGCCAATGTGAATAAACTTGCTTTGTTTTTCCTCTAGGTGTGGAAACGGTGAGGAAACACAGTGAACCGGCACAGTAGAGACTGCGGCTGATGCCTCAAAGCACACTGACCCTCGACCCTGCGATGCCCACCGAGCTGGTGAAAGACACCATGACGATCCCCGGAGCTCCCGAGAGAATCCTGCAAGAGAAAACCAACAACAACGAGCCTCCACAACCGCAGCTGCTGGCCATCACCATTCCCCTGGTCAACGAGGGGCAGCTGACGGCGGCCACCGGCGGAGCTGAGCTGTCCTGCTACCGCTGCACCGTGCCGTTCGGCGTGGTGGCCCTGATCGCGGGGATCGTAGTGACGGCCGTCGCGTACAGCTTCAACTCGCATGGCTCCACCATATCATACTTCGGACTGGTGCTGCTCTCGGCTGGGCTCGTGCTGCTTGTGCTGAGCGCTGTTTGCTGGAAGGTGCGGATGGAGAGAAAGAAAGAGAGGAGACGAGAGAGTCAGACAGCACTGATGGCCCATCAGAGGAGCATCTTCGCCTGATTCGACACAAGCACAAAATCTTCACGATGAACAAGTCAATGCATCACGTTTGGGACGACGTCCAGATGTTTTGCCATAGATTGTAAAAAAAAAAGATGGACGACTCATCTCTGCTTCCTTTCAGCTGAAGCCAATGTTCCCGCTGTCTATTTGCATAGCATCAAATAGCCAACCAAAAATAAACTTTTTAGAAAAATTAACACTTGAACATACATCAGAGTGATAAGAACTACCTAAAAAGATGGGAACTGTCTTTGGAAAAAATTATTTGAAGTGTAATTAGATTTTTTTCCCCACATCCCATTGGTTTACATGGAGAGGACGTGGTTTATGACCTCTACTGCCGCCAGCCACTAGGGGATGATCGAGAAACGAAGAGAGAGGACGAGAGAGTCAGACGGCACTGATGGCCCATCAGAGAAGCATCTTCGCTTGATTCGACACAAGCACAAACTCAGAAACCTTCATGATGAACAAGTCATGATGAACAAGTTTTGCCTCAGTTCAGACCGTAGACTGTAAAAAAGATGGACGACGTGTCTCCGCTTCCTTCCACTGTAGAAAAGTGAAGCCAAAATGTCCCGCTGTCATCTTGCGCCGATGACGTAATTTGGAGCTCAGTTCTTCCACGAACAGCTCTGGGAATGAGCGGGACAGTTAACCGAGACAGACTCGCAGCTGCATGCATCCAGATGTTCAGATACAGCTGCACTGCAACAAAATCATCAGCTTAAAACAGCTCTCATGTTCTAGTGTTTACTTGCTCAAGCATCACTGTTGCTACTTCTCAAAAATGGGGTTAAAGGTTTGTTTAGATCGCTTACACTACAGTGTGTAACATGTCATGCAACCAACCTGGCAACACAGAAAAACACTCAAAACTGAACAAAGCAGTGTCATGGCAACCACCCAGAATGCACTTATGCCCGGTTCAGACTACATGATTTTAGCCCAATTTTGCCACAATTTGCGTCAAGCACGTCAAGTAGGGTGTCGTGGGGATTCGTAAACGACAGTGGGCGTGGGGACGCAAGATTCCATCGTTTCAGCTCGTGCAGTGTGTCATTGTGGAAGACAACCGATTCCGCGTCTGCGATGCTTTACGACATCACGACAGAAAGACTTGCATGTTTAATTTTTTTTCCATCGTCCATGACGAGTTCTGTCACATTGGTGACGTTGACCAATAGCAGCACAGAAGCTCTTTCATGCACAGGTTTCAAAAATGGCAAAACGAAAGAGAGATGATGGTGCTGCTAGGTGGAATTATGAGATGGAGGAAAGGTTCGTGGAGCTGTGGCAACAGTACTCCTGCCTTTACGATGTGTCATCGAGGGACTACCACGACAGAACAAAGAAAGAACAATGCTGGCGAACTATAGCGGAAGCGCTTCAGCAATGTTTACACTCTTGTTTTCGGAAGTCAGTCGCTAGTTCCGCCTTCTCGAAGACATCACGTGCGTCGTTAAAGACGGCACGCGATGAATGGTCGGGAAGCAACGTGTATTCTGACATGTTTCTTGTTCACGACACAACAAGATTTTAGGAGTCAAAATCTTGTAATCTGACACAGTGACTATCGTGACCGACAAAAATATTGTGTAGTCTGAACCCGGCATTAGAACCACGTACAACAACGACACCATAACAATTACTCAGAACAACCTAGCAACAGCACAGCAACTCCCTAGCAACTGGAATGCAGTCCCTTAGAATACCGTAGACCCGTAGACACAACACCCTGGCAACTAACCTGAACACCCTAGCAACCATATAGCACATGTCTTGTTTTAAAAAATGTATATATGTATATATATATATATATATATATAACAATTGGAAGTGAGTTTAAGTAAAAAAAAAAAGAAAAACAATCAGTCAGTGGGGTAAGAAAATACTGTTGTTTTCCCTTTGAATTAATTTTTTTTTTTTTACTCCACTGACAGATATTTTTATCTTGTTTTAAGAACAATCTCACTTTATTTTGTTACATTTTTCAGAAAAAAATATGAAAATTCTATCATTTACTGTCCTCCCAAACCTTAAAGCATTTATTCTTCTGTGGGACAAATGAGAAGATATTTTAAAGAAATACTTTAATTGTATTTTTTTTTGTCCATAAAATGGAAGTGAACCAAAACTTTTTGGAATTTTCAGATTTTTTTCAAAATTTTGAACTTTCAGAGTTTTCTGTTTCAGTCCCCATTGACTTCCACTGTACTTTTTGTCCATACAATGAAAGTCAATGGGAACAGAAACTGTCTGGCTACCAACATTCTTCAAAATGTCTTCTTTTAAATTCTGCAGCATAAAGAAAGTTTGTGATGACATTAATTTTCATTTTTGGGTGACCTATCCCTTAAATATCTTAAATTATTTTGATTTAAGAATGTTTAGATATCTGTAATGGAAAACAAGACAAAAAATACTGCGTAAGAAAATCTTTTCTTTTTAAAGTGTGCTTATTTTAGTGTCCTCAACCACAAACTTCAGTAGTTTCTGATGGGCCGCAGTGCTAGCCAACCTTTAATGTGGTTCGTAAGCACATTCTTTCTTTCTTTTTCTTTGTTTTCTTTCTCTCTGTCTCTTTTGCCTGTCGGGCAGGGCCGTACGGTTAGCTGGGACGTGGGCCAAGGCGAACGCATCAAAATTAAGACAAGTATCTGCTGTGCAAACCCAGAGACGGGAAGTGCCATATTAATCCATGGCTGCTTCCTGTCCGGGTGGATTAATGGAAAGACACACTTTGAGACATAAAGGAAAGGGAGGAAAATGAGGAAATGAAGAACAATGATTTCTTCTTCATCGAGAGTGTCTTTCTGACACCCAGATACTTTATATGTCAGTTTTGTGAATGTACGGTACTTATATCACTAGTATTATTATAAACAACAATGGGCTCCACGTACAACAACGACACCATAACAATTACTCAGAACAACCTAGCAACAGCACAGCAACTCCCTAGCAACTGGAATGCAGTCCCTTAGAATACCGTAGACACATCAAAGCAACACCCTGGCAACTAACCTGAACACCCTAGCAACCATATAGCACATGTCTTGTTTTAAAAAATGTATATATATATATATATATATATATATATATAACAATTGGAAGTGAGTTTAAGTAAAAAAAAAAAGAAAAACAATCAGTCAGTGGGGTAAGAAAATACTGTTGTTTTCCCTTTGAATTAATTTTTTTTTTTTTACTCCACTGACAGATATTTTTATCTTGTTTTAAGAACAATCTCACTTTATTTTGTTACATTTTTCAGAAAAAAATATGAAAATTCTATCATTTACTGTCCTCCCAAACCTTAAAGCATTTATTCTTCTGTGGGACAAATGAGAAGATATTTTAAAGAAATACTTTAATTGTATTTTTTTTTGTCCATAAAATGGAAGTGAACCAAAACTTTTTGGAATTTTCAGATTTTTTTCAAAATTTTGAACTTTCAGAGTTTTCTGTTTCAGTCCCCATTGACTTCCACTGTACTTTTTGTCCATACAATGAAAGTCAATGGGAACAGAAACTGTCTGGCTACCAACATTCTTCAAAATGTCTTCTTTTAAATTCTGCAGCATAAAGAAAGTTTGTGATGACATTAATTTTCATTTTTGGGTGACCTATCCCTTAAATATCTTAAATTATTTTGATTTAAGAATGTTTAGATATCTGTAATGGAAAACAAGACAAAAAATACTGCGTAAGAAAATCTTTTCTTTTTAAAGTGTGCTTATTTTAGTGTCCTCAACCACAAACTTCAGTAGTTTCTGATGGGCCGCAGTGCTAGCCAACCTTTAATGTGGTTCGTAAGCACATTCTTTCTTTCTTTTTCTTTGTTTTCTTTCTCTCTGTCTCTTTTGCCTGTCGGGCAGGGCCGTACGGTTAGCTGGGACGTGGGCCAAGGCGAACGCATCAAAATTAAGACAAGTATCTGCTGTGCAAACCCAGAGACGGGAAGTGCCATATTAATCCATGGCTGCTTCCTGTCCGGGTGGATTAATGGAAAGACACACTTTGAGACATAAAGGAAAGGGAGGAAAATGAGGAAATGAAGAACAATGATTTCTTCTTCATCGAGAGTGTCTTTCTGACACCCAGATACTTTATATGTCAGTTTTGTGAATGTACGGTACTTATATCACTAGTATTATTATAAACAACAATGGGCTGGAAAACCAGATGTTATTATGTTCTTTTATTGAATTTATTTTGTATTTCAGACTATGAGGACAGACAAACACGCTCTTACTTGAGCGGTGATTTATGACTTATGTGAAGTAACGTGTTATGTGAAGATGACAGTATTATGTGATTTTTGTGTATTTGATCATGCAAATTGTGAATTATTGATTTCAGGTGCTTATTTTTTGACGAGGGAATGAAAATGCATCTTAACAATTCAGTTTCAGATCGTTTGTGATTGTAATCATCATTTCTTCAATTATGTCTGTGGAAATGTTATATCTGTTAGACGTTGACAGAACTATTTTTGTGAAACTAAAAATGTTTTATATCAATGATTTCAAAAATCATTTGAAATTCAATTGTAAACTGTAAAACGTAATAGCAATTGTTGTATTAAAGCTGAATACGCAGTTATAGTTTTATTACACTTTGAACTATCCATTTAAAAGCTGAATTTTAAAACAAACTGTTAAGCTTTAAGCTCTGACTGAATGAGTCGTGTTTGAGTCATTTCATATCTGCAGCTGGTTTAGAGCAGGCTGGCTTTAATTAGTTCTCCATTCACTCGTGCTGTTTGTTTGAAGTCGTGCGGTTTGGGTTTGGTCGAAAGACGCCAGCTGAACGTAAAGAGCTTTCTCGTGTGAGAGGCTGCGATTAAAACTTTCAATACTGAATGGAAGGAAATGTTCCTTTCTTTCTTTTACAATGAGTTCTGCTCACTCCACGGCTGCACTGCGCATTGTGTGCATGTGAATGCAATCGGATGTGTCTAAACTTCACTGCATATGTGGTTGAGAATTTGAAAGGCAGAATTTTTTTTTTTTAAATGACTTAAGATTGAGCTAGATTGAACATTGCTGTTTGTCAAACATCATTATTACTATTGCTCATACAGGCGAAAAAACTCTAAGTGTGAGTCAAATCCAATTAACTTTTACATTTTCTTGTTCTGCAAACTTTAAATGTTTTTAATTTAGCTTTTAAAACAGACAGTTTGGGAAATTCACACTTATAACACATACTCAAATTTAATGCACAAAGTTGCTATGATGTTTGGCAACCATAAACAGCACCCTGGCAACTGCCTGGAAAAGCCTGGAAACTGCATAGCAACGCTCTCACAACCACTTAGAACACCTTAGACACATCAAAGTAACACCCTGACAACGGTCTGGAACCCCCTAGCAA